GTGGGTTTATCCTTTGCTCTAAGTCATAAAAATCTCTCTTAACTAAAATAACCAAGAAGGCAAAGGGTATCCAGTAAGACTGGCTCAGCAATTCTTCTATATCAAAACTTGCTTCCATCTCTATTCCATCATCAGATTTAAAAATCTTTCTGCTAAGCACACACATCTGTGAGACTTTCTTGTCAAACCTTCATCCTTCCCAACATCATGAGTCCGTTTTGGAATTCCTTTCAAGCAGGAGCTCTGATCCACCTGAGCTTGTTAAATAACCTTAAATAAATCCTCCAGGTGCCACCTGCACTGCCAGCCAGGGCTGGCTGCCCTGTGCCCTCCTGGGAGCAGAGGTTTCCCACTCTAATTGGACACACGTGCTGCTCTCCTGACCCTGGTGAGCTCCAGCACAGCCCAGGATTCTCTCACTGCAGCAGCTGGGCAGCTTCAGCCAGGCTGCAGGAGCAGGGCTGGGACTCCTGGGGCTGCAGGAGCTGGGAGAGGAGTGTAGAAACCAAACCATGGTGAGAGGAGGGAACAAATCCAGGCCATGCTTGTCACTGAACTGATTAAACCTCAGCTCTGAAGCTCTTCCCCTGTCCTCTAGCCAGTGAGCAGTGTATAACTTCATTACTGCACATCCAGGAGTCGCTGAGGGATGTGGGCGATTCATTATCATCTGTCCCATTTCATTTCCCTGCCTGTCAGCTCTGGTGCTCACAGACAAGGCAGGGTTTCAGGGTGTGAACTGAGGCTGGAGGCTCCTGCAGCACAGTTCCTGCACCCCCATCACTTTTGGGGAGACCCCTGCACCACCTTGGGGGGCTCAGGGGTTTTGTGGCACCACCATCACCCAGCTCAAGGGTTTTGTGGCACCACCATCACCCAGCTCAGGGGTTTTGTGGCACCACCATCACCCAGCTCAGGGCTTTAGGGGCTTGGCTGTCAGCAGGGACATCATGAGCTGGGTGTGCAGCATCATTCTGGAGACCCCCAGCCCGCAGTGAGGGGAATGCAGAAGTCAGGGATGGTTTTAACTGGTTCTGGTGCCTCTCCTAGTGATGGCTCTGGTGCCATGGTACTGTCCCCTGTCAGACAGGTCTGTCCTGCTGGGTCCTGCTGGGCTCCTGCCTCAGATCCTGGGGACTAATTGCTCTGCAGAAAGCATTTCTCACAAGTTTTTTTTCATAAGAAACAGTAACAAGGCTTTGATTTAGCTTTTCTTTTCCTTTCTCCCTGTCTTTTTTCCCTCCCTTCCTACCCCAAATGCAGAAGCCCCTTTGATCATGTGGGTAACAAGCAGCTCTGTTTGCGCTGGGGAGTTGTCAGTGTGCTAACACGACAGCACAGTCTCCTTGTCACCTCACACACAACGAATTATTCCTCTCTTTGCACCATCTCTGGGATGAATGACTGCTCCCAGATGGGCTTGCCACCCATCCTTAACCTCTGATCCCTGCCCAGCATGGAGTGCTGGCCACTGCAGCTCACCCAAAGGCTGCAGCAAAACGTTGGAGTGGGGAATTGTCAGCCTGGCTTGAAAGCAAATTGCTTTGCCAATTTATTTTCTTTCTTGTGTATGAACATATTTTTCTTAAAGGGATGCTGTCACATTAAATATGGAGCTGCCAACTGCAGGCATTAAAAAATCATGGGTCGTCCCATTTTCCTTCCTCCCACTCTAAATTCTGAGAAAACAATAAATTAGGTTTTGGGTTTTTTTAACTTGTCATCTGCCTTTCAGCTCCAGATGCTTTTTGCAAACTTTTTCCAGCAGCTGGGAGGTTTGGGAGTGACAAATGCCATGGAACTGGGGCAGAGGGGGTGGCACTGGGGTGGCCCCTCAGCCAATTTGGGGTGTCTGGGGGGTCCCCAAGGGCAGAGCCAGGGCTGTCCTGGGGCTCAGGAGCCTCCTGCCACCACAGCTGATGGGACTGAGCCATGTGCTGGTAAGGAAATCTTCCCCAAATCTGCCCGTGAAGGGCGTCCACTGTCAACAAGTGTCACTGTGTCACTTTGTGTCACTTTGTCACATCTCCTGTGACAGATGCAGAAAATCCTTTTCAGCCTTTATGTTTCCGAGCCCTTTTCTTTTTAGGGAAGGTGATGGAAGTAGTGTTGTTGTACTTGGACAAAACGTGTTTCCTTGCTGAGGTGGGGAAGGGAATTGTCATTTGTCACACTGAACAACTTCATGGAAGTTTCTGGATGTGTGGATCTGGGATGGAAGCGTGTCTGATCTGATATCAGGTATCAGAAATCTCTCATATAGAAGAGATCTGATTGAAAACAGGTTCCAGATGGGGCTGGGTCAATGCTTTCCCTTTTTTCTGCTGCAGGTAGAGATAAGTCTCTTGCTACTCTTTAATTTTAAAGAAAATTCTCTTCCACAGCTTCACTGCAGCCTCAGAGCTCAGCAGGGCTCAGCTGCCCCCAGCCCCACCACGTGGGCTCCAGAGCCTCCCCCAGCAGGGTGTTTGATAACATTGATTTTAATAAAGCTCTGGGCTTGTTTTGATGGACACATCCAAAGCACTACATGGATTTAAACAGATCCCATTGCAAATGTCTCTATCTGATACCCCTGGCGTGACCAGACTGCAAATGTCACTTGCTTAGCACTATCAAATATTTAATTTGCCTTGTAATAGAGGAGCCTTTGAGAGCTCCAGCTTAAGCTGGAGCTCTCCTGTTAGCCAGCAGCTCTCCACAAATTCACTTAAAAGCCATTTTCTGCCCTGAAAAGCTCCTGATGCAGATGTGGGAGTGAGGGGAGCTGGGAGGGAAGAACTTTCCCACTCTGCTGGAACCCTGCTCATCACTGTAAGTGCTCGTGGTGGCTCCTCACCTTTGCCAGGGGAACACGTGGGTGTGGGAAGGGGTTGGCAGTGCCATCCCATGGTGTTGGTGCCCGTGCTTGTGGTGTTGTGTGTCCAGTGGCATTGCTGCTGACCCTGCTGTCTGTGCCTGCAGTGGGGCTGGAGGGGCCCAGGAGCTGGCCTGGGTCTCATTCTGGATCCTGCACTTGTGGAAAATCACATTTTATGGGAATTTCCCTGTGGCAGCTTCAGCGAACAGCGAGGGGAGCATGAGGTGATCCCTGGGCATCACCTGGTTCTGTGTGCTTTATTTATTAATATTTTATTTTATTTTTATTGTATTTTATTTTATTTTATTTTATTTTTATTTATTTTATTTTATTATTTTTATTTAATTTTATTTTATATTTTTAAATTTTATTATTATTTATATATATAATATATATTAAATTAATATATAATTATATTTAGTATTTTATTTTATTTTCTATTTTTAAATTTTATTATTATTTTTATATATAATATATCTTAAATTAATATGTAATTATATTTATTATTTTATTTTATTTTATTTTATTTTATTTTATTTTATTTTATTTTATTTTATTTTATTTTATTTTATTTTATTTATTTTATTGCATCACACAGCAGCCCTGTGAGACCTGGCTCTGCCCAAACCTTTGTGCTGACCACAAGAATCCTGAAGGATGCTGTGATCTTGTCAGGTTCTCCTCATCCAGCAGAGATCCTAGGGATGTTTGGGGGGTGAACCATAGAGCTCAGTCCTTCCTCCTCCTCTCTGTGCTCACACCTAGAGCCAAACCCAGGGATGGAATGTTTCCCTCCCTGCTAGGCTGGGAGCAGGTGGCACTGCCCAGGTTTTGTTTCCTCGAGCAGCCAGGCAGAGAGGCAGCATTTTCCCCTCCATGGTGTCTCCTTCAGCCGGGTTTTGCCGTCCTGAGCGGGGCTGGGATCTGCTGATTCAGGGGACAGGCAGCCCTGCATGCGGCGTTAATGATCTTGGTGTGCAAAGGAGAGGACAGCGGCACCGCGGGATGCTCCCTGTCCTCCCCGGAGGCTGCAGGATGTCCCAGTGCCCTTCAGCCTGTGGCAACGGGGCTGAGGGGAGCCCCAAGAGCATCTGAGGGTAAGAATTGGGAATTTGGGGGGTCAGAACTGAGGGTTGGGGGTGGTCTGAGCCCTGTGTGAGTCCCTGTGCCAGGAGCCAGCCTGCAGAGCAGAGCCCTTGAGGAGAGACAGCTCCCACTAATCCTTGCTCTGATGGTTTATGGACTGATCCTAAAATGTGGCATTAGCAGAGCATATGCCAGGCTTTGGGGGCAGCTGGTTTGATGCAGTGTTATGAAATGCTGGAATGCTGCAGCCATGGCCAGGCCCTCCAAAACCTGCAATCTGTCTGGTGTGCTCAGGGCAGCACGCTGAAACATCAACTGATGCCACAGCAGCTCCCTGGGCACCTCCATACCTGGAGCAGAGCCCCTGTGCTCTTCCCAGCCCTCCACCAGCACCTCAGTGCCTCTTCTTGAAGTTACACGGGGAATTTTCCATGTCCAGCCACGTTCCCTGTGTCCCCTGTCACTGAGAGCTGCTGTCAGTGCCTTTATGAAGTTACACAAGGAATTCTCTGCACCCAGCCTTCGAGGCTGCCCCATTCCCCCTGTCCCCTGGCACTGAGAGCTGCTGCCAGGTGTGAGCACCCAGTGCCCCTTTATGAAGTTACACAGGGAATTCTCTATGCCCAACCTTTGATGCAGCCCCATTCCCGTGTCCCCTGTCACTGAGAGCTGCTGCCAGGTGCACCCAGCGCCCCTTTATGAAATTACAGTGAATTTTCAGCCCCCAGCACCATTCCCTCATGTCCCCTGTCAGGTGTGAGCACCCAGTGCCCCTTTATGAAATTACAGTGAATTTTCTGCCCCCAGCCCCATTCCCGTGTCCCCTGTCACTGAGAGCTGCTGCCAGGTACATCCAATGCCCCTTTTATGAAATTACAGTGAATTTTCAGCACCCAGCCCCATTTCCCCATCTCCTCTGTCAGCTGTGAGCACCCAGTGCCTCTTTATGAAGTTACACAGGGAATTCTCTGTGCCCAGCCCGGAAAGCTGCCCATTCCCCATCTCCCCGTCATGTGCATCCNTTCCCACTGCCTGTGTTGGGAGAACTAACCCACAAACATCAGCGGTTTGTGTCCAAGAGGAGTCCTTTTACTTTATTTGAATAAAGGAAGAGACCATCGGGCATTGCCCTGGGGTCTCAGATTTTTGGAGGATGCAGCCTCCTTTTTATCCCAATTTCCCTTCTCTCTTCCCATATTAGCTGAGGTACTTGAGAGGTAAAAAATTCCCGATATGCCTGATACCAAAGATTTCCCTCTAATGCATAACCCTCCCTTTTATTAGGAAAATTAATCCACAAACATCAGAGGTTTGTATCCGAAAGGAGGCAGATGAGTCCTTTTGCTTTATTTGAATAAAGGGAGAGGCCATGGGGCATTCCCCTGGGGTCTCTCAGATTTTTGGAGGATGCAGCCTCCTTTTTATCCCAATTTCCCTTCTCTCTTTCCCCATTAGCTGAGGTACTTGAGAGTTAAAAAATTCCCAATATGCCTGATACTGAAGATTTCCCTCCCTCTTAATTTTTAATTCTTATGGAATTGAGGGCTTTTTCTTTCCCATTAGCTGAGGTACTTGAGAAGTACAGACTTCCCAAAACACCTGATGCCAAAGATTTTCCTCTAATGCATAACCCTCCCTTTTGTTAGGAAAATTAACCCACAAACATCAGAGGTTTATGTCTGAAAAGGAGACAGAGGAGTCCTTTTGCTTTATTCAAATAAAAGGAGAGCCATGGGGCATTGCCCTGGGATCTCTCCAATTTTTGGAGGATGCAGATACAGCTGTCAGCTCCAGCTGCAGGCAGGCCTGGACACCCTTTGGTTTTGGGTACATTGCATTATTTACTTTTCTTTTGGTTACGTTGCATTATATACTTTTCTTTTGGTTACAGTGCATTATATACTTTTCTTTGCTGAGCATCTTTATACAGTAGAATTAATCTATACCTTAACTTTTACCTATAGCCTATCATAACTACTGTAAATTACCATATTCATGTTACTGTTCTTCAATCACTCAAAGTCAGTACATTACAGTTTAAGCTAGAAGTTGTTTTTCAGTTTTCTTGCAGTGGAAAATTCTGAGACCTTTTTTCTACTTGCAACTTTGCTGACTTTTTTGTCTGTGCTATCTTTCTGCTTGGTAAAAACATCTTCTTGTTTGGGGTGGGTTTATCCTTTGCTCTAAGTCATAAAAATCTCTCTTAACTAAAATAACCAAGAAGGCAAAGGGTATCCAGTAAGACTGGCTCAGCAATTCTNTTGGAAGCTCAGCCTGATCATAGGATGGAGTACCCTGCTAAGCTCACCATGCCTAATAGGAAGAGCAGGCCTGGGTTGAGGTCTGCTAAGGAAAATGGAAGGGGCAGTAGGGCTCAGATTGAGATTGATAGGAGTAAGGCTGGTATTGGGGTCGTGATAAATAAGATTGGGGACAATGTTGGTGGTCGAATAGGCTCTTTGATAAATAGCTTCACACTGTCTGCTAGAGGTTGTAGGAGTTTGCAAACAGAACAATGTTTGGGCCCTTTCGGCCTTGTATGTAGCTCAGGATTTTGCGCTCTACTAGTGTGAGGAAGGCTGCTGCAATTCAGATTGGAAGGGCATAGGAGAGAGCTATGATGAGGTTGATTAAGAGAGGGTTTGGGTTAAACTAGGGAGAAGATTTGCATCCAAGACTGCTGGGCCTGCGGGGGCTCCTGAGGCTCCTGGTGCCACCGGGCTCCCCATCTCCCCGCGGCTGCAGCGCTCCCCTTGCCTTCTCCCAGGTCAGAAAGGAAACAATAAAAAGTAGAATGAAGAGCAATCCAAAGCCTTTGGCAGTGTTTTCCATCCTCTCCTCCCTGTTTTCCGTGGCAGAATCACATCAAGCAGGTGTTGCCTGCAGGAGGGTGCCCAGCCCCAGGTGGGTGCCTGGTGAGGGAGCGGTGGCGGTGCCTGGCGAGGGTTCGCCGTGCAAGCTCTGTCCTCCCCGCGCTAAAAAAAGGCACGAAATGAGCAAAATTACGCGCTGAGTCACTGATTGTTCACCCGCTGCTTTAGTCACCAGCGCTCCCACACCGGGGGACGCTCGCTGAGGGGGCACAAACCGAATTGTCACCGCCTTCGGTGGATGTGGCCCAGAGCAGCGACGAGCTCCTGCTGCCCTCACAGCCTCTGCCACCACACAGCCCATCCGCGGCCGCAGGAGCTGCTCAATTAATGCCAACTCCCTGATGAATGCGCTGATTAATCGCTGCCGTGTGCTGCGGAGGTGGTGGTGGCAGGAGACAGCTGCAGTGTCCCGTGTCACTGTCCTGGTGTCTGTCCTCCCACNTGGAAGAAGGAGTCAGAACTCTTCTATTGTCATTCTCAAGGTTGTTCATTGTACCTGCTGAGGTCCTCTCAGCAAGACAGCCAGAGGCACTCTGCCCATCTTTTATCTTTTTATACTAAAAACCACGTGTACAATATTTACCATAACTTCCCAATACCTATCACCTGTGTCAGACAGTGAGCTTCTACTCTAAACCAATCCAAAAGTGCCACCATCACAGCAGAAGATGGAGGCGAAGAAGAAGAAGAAGGAGAAAGGCTGGACACTGCTGCCAGTATGAACCAGTTGCCTCCAGCTAGATCAACCCAGTCAGTCCCAGTATGATGCCAGTTGCTCCCAGTTGCTCCCAGTCCCCCCAGCATGGGGGATGTTGTGCAGGGTGTGTTCCCAGTCACTCTCAGACACCCCCAGTGTCAATCCAGTCCCTCCCAGTATGATGTCAGTCAGGCCCAGTATATCCCAGTTACCTTCAGTCATTCCCAGTTCTTCCAGTTTGCTTGCAGCATGATCCCAGTTTCTCTCAGCTGCTCCCAGTAGCCCAAAGTGTGATCCCAGTTGCTCCCTTTCAACACCAATATGAGTCCAGTAAGCTCCAGTATGACCCTTGTCACATGCCAGCACCCCCAGGATGGTCTCAGTGTAATCCCAGTTACTTCCAGTCTCTCCCAGGATGGTCCCAGTTGCCTCCAGCATGATTCCAGTTGCTTCTCTGGATCAACCCAGTCAGTCCCAGCATGATGCCATGTGCTCCCAGTTGCTCCCAGTCCCCCCAGTATGGGGGATGAAGTGCAGGGTGTGTTCCCAGTCACTCTCAGACACCCCCAGTGTCAATCCAGTCCCTCCCAGGATGATCCAGACATAACCCCAGTGTGCTCCCAGTATGAACCAGTTGCCTCCAGCTAGATCAACCCAGTCAGTCCCAGCATGATGCCATGTGCTCCCAGTTGCTCCCAGTCCCCCCAGGATGGGGGATGATGTGCAGGGTGTGCTCCCAGACATTCTCAGACATTCCCAGCCCCTCCCAGTATGATCCAGAGATGACCCCAGCGTGCTCCCAGTATGAACCAGTGCCCCACACGGTGCCAGCTGCCGGCAGCCGCTCTGTCCCTCTGTCCTCACAGTGGGTCTGTCCTTCCTCCCGCAGGCATGAAGCGCCCCCTGAGCCCATCCCAGAGCCCCGAGGGCGCAGTGCAGCTGGTGGAGGAGCCCAGCTGCCCCCCCAGCCAGCCCGAGCAGCGCATGAAGAGGGAGAAGAAGCAGCAGTCGTTCACTCTGTGCGAGGTCTGCAACATCCAGCTCAACTCAGCTGCCCAGGCGCAGATCCACTACAACGGCAAGTCCCACCAGAAGCGCCTCAAGCAGCTAAACAAGGGGAAGATGCCAGCAGCCCAAGGTAGGAGCCCACCCAGCAGGTCAAGGTGGCCCAAAGGCTGCCCTTGCTCTGGCACAGCTGCTCTGTTGGGCTCGTGGCAAGTTTGGAGGTGTTTGGTTTTGGTCCTTGGCTCTCGGGGCCTTTCTGAGTCGCTGCGAGCCTGAGATTGTTAAAAGTCTCTTTTCCCAGCCCCAGTGTTTGAAGAATGAGTCAGGGCTCTTCATTTCTCAGTCTCAAGGTTGTTTATTGTTCCTTATCTATAAAAAATTTTCTCCTGTCCTGCTGAGGTCCCTCCAGTAGGACAGTCTGAGGCACTCTGCCTGCCCTCAGGGCTGTGTTATGTCTTTGTACTAAAAGCTGTATACAATATTTATCATAACTTCCCAATACCCATCACCTATGTTAGACAGTGAGCTGCTACTCTAACCCAATCCAAAAGTGCCAACATCACAGCAGAAAATGAAGGCCAAGAAGATGAAGGAGAAAGGCTGGATACACCCAGTTCCCTCCATCTTGCCTCCTGAACCCTCATACCAAAAACCCTAAAATCTACTTTTCCACCCTGTGATAACTTTACTAATATTCTACTTAAATGTTGTGGCTTGCTGATCTTCATAGAAGGTCGGTAATTTGCTCATAATCAAACCCACAGGTGTTTTGGGCTCCGTGTCAGGGTCTCTGAGCCCCCTGGCAGGGGTTTGGACAATCCAGAACAGCCAGAGGGATGTCCTGGGTTCCCACACTTGGTGTCTGTCACTTGCTGGAACTGCAGGGCTTTCAGTCCTCAGGTGGTTTAGGGGCCCAAGAGGCCAAACTGCACAGCAGAGGGATGGACACATGGTTAGTGCTGCTCTGTCTTTGTGGGTGTCTCCTTGAGCTCTGTAGATGGTTTGTGCAGCAGGGACATGCGTGCCCAAGGCTGCCACTTGCTGGGGTTCTGGATGCTGCTGTGCAGGTGCCAACCTGACCTGTGCACTTCTCCTGTGTCTGTGCTGAGTTTGATCCAAAATGCTGCTCAGATGTTGGTGCTGAGGCCCCTCACCTGTTGGCTGTGCAGGGAGGCTGCCACGTGCAGGTGCTGTGCTGCTGGGCAGGACAATGTGCTTGTTTGTGCAAGGGCAAGGACTCACCTGCCCTCTGTGCCATCTGCCAGCACTCACCTGGCTGGGCCCAGCTGGCTGCTGCAGATTTTATGCACAAAAGCAGGGAAACGTGCCCAGAAATGTCACCCTGTCACCATGGCTGACCTGCTCTGCCTGAGCCTTTGGCTGTGAGGATTTGTCATTAGCAGCAAACCGAGGGCATTGCACAGAAATCACAGAATGCCTTGGGATGGAAGGGACCTAAAAGATTAAATGGTTCCCTGCTCCTGCTCTGACTAGAGACTGGGCAGGCTGGAGCCATGAATTCCCAGCATGGCAATAGTCATGTGTGTGCCAAATCCTGCCCTGGCTGGTGCTGGTTTTGTTTGGGATATGCAAAGGAGCAGCTCTCTCCATCAGCATTGCTGACAGATGGAAATATTGCCAGCTATTTTAATGGGGATGGGCCTCATAAATTCCAGTCTGCAGCTTCCAGCTTCTCCCCTCAATCTGCTTGTGGCCTGACGGGAGGCTGTCCAGGGATGCATTTCCTACTGAGCCAAAGAATCCTGGGCCATGCCAGTCTGCTCTTTGTGCCCTGATCTCTGCCAGTGTGGCACCTCTGGGACCCCACACTGTTAGCCCCACAATCTCTGCTCTGCCAGGCATGGCACAGCCATCCTGAGTGTGCAGGGCTCTGTTCTGCTTGTGTGCAGAAACTGCAGGCAGCAGCTGCTCCCTGTGCCTCCCTGTCCCTCCCGTTCCCGCTGGAGCTGACCTTTCCCTGCACTTTGGTTAAAAATGTCACTTCCAGCGTTGTCACTGTGAGCCTTTCCCAGCCTCCTGAGGTGGCTGCGAGCTGGCTGATGTGACTCCTGTGCCACTTGATGCCATATGTGACCCCCCAAATTGCCAAAGAGACACCATCCCTGTCAGGACCTGGGCTGGCAGGGCCATTGGGGTGCTGGGGATGCTCTGCCCTGCCTCATCACACTCCTCTAGGAGCCCTTCCCAGACCTGCACCTTTGGGTGATGAGAAAACGCATCTGCCTGCAGTGATGGGAGCTGTGACCCCTTCTTCAGGGCAGCTGGGCTCAGCCTGGCACAGCCCACAGACAGGAATGGGTCTCCAGTGATGTGTCAGCATTGGGTGGGTCGTGGATTAAATGAAGTAATTGAGTTCAACAGAGATGGGCTGTTCCTCTGGGTTGGAATCTCTGCCTCATGCTGACACCTACAGCTGCATCAAAGGCAGCTTCCAGCCACCACTGAGTGTCCCTGCTCCCCTCTGGCTCCTGGGATCTGTTCTTCCTCCCCAGGCTGTGATCACTTGTGTCTCATGCAGCAGAGCTGCAGAGGAGCAGCACTGGCAAACATGCTAATCAGTGTCATTACAATTCATTAGCTCTGGAGCAGAAAGTCCCCAACTTAAAAACAAATTATTGCTTATCAGACTTTTCATTTTGCAAGACAAACCCCAGATCCTTGCTGTCCTGTGTGGAATCATGGTGAGGTGCTGATTAGACACGGGGTGGTCACAGATGAAAGACGTTTTCGTGCCGCAGATGCCAGCTCTAATCCAACTGGGTCACGAGTGATTTAATTACTGCCTGTGATTTCCCAGGCAGCCCAAGTGATCTCAGTTTGCTCTCAGAGTACTCAGGAATCAAACCACAGCCTGGTGCTGAGTGAGCAGGAGGAGCTGAGCCACCCCAAAATGGGCTGCAAAAGGGGCATGGACGGGGGGCTCTGCTGCTTCCCCTCATCCTGGATCATCTTTGGGGCTCCCATCAGGACAGGCTGAGCTGGAATATTTCAAAATTTACACCCTGACCCATTGCTCTCATTCTGGATCATCTCTGGGGCTCCCATCACAGCATAGACCAAGCTGGAACATTTCAAAACTTACACCCTGATCCATTGCTCTGCCCAAAAGTCCTTTTCAGTGTCTCAGAGAAGTCATGGGATGTACAGAGCAGCTCGTGCTGCTGCCAGAGTGCTGTTTCTGGGCTCTGCCAGCCCCCATCTCCCTCAAAGGCAGTGGGAGCACTCTCCTTTGGAGCACCAGCCTCTGGATTCCCTGGCAAATGTGAGCTGACAGCAGCTCATAGCCCTTTGGCCAGGGTCTGTGGGAAGGACACTCTGTTCAGGCATCTCCTCTGCCCAGGAGGCTCCACACAAACCCCAACTCAAACATTTCCCTGGCTTTGGAGGCTGCTGAGCTGCTCCCCCAACCCAAAAGCCAAAGCACCCGGAGGCAGCTGTGCCCTGGGGCTGGTTTGTGTCACAGGCTCTTCCTCCTCTCCAAAATCCATGGAATTCTGTGCCCTGACCCAGTGCTGTCACCCTGCCCCACACTGGGGCTGCCTGCTGCTGTCCCCCCTCCCCTCAGCCCTGGAACAGCAGCTCCTTGCAAAGGGAAAGGTCCTGGATTCCCCAATTATGCACTGAAATGTCTGTCCATGCGTGTTTGGGAGCACAGAGGTTTGAGATGAGCAGGGAAATCGCTGTGACAGCTTCAGCATCACTGAGCAGGGCCCCTGGCAGGGGACACGGGGACCCCAGGGGATTCAGAGGGGGCTGGGGGCTGCTGGTGGGATTGTCCTGGCTTGCACAGAGGGTCCCAGCTCCCTGATTTTGGCAGCTGAAGGGAACCCACTGCCCTGGGTGGCACTGCCTGAGGCACTGGGGCTGACCAAGGAGCCCATGGTTGTGCTTTTGGCTGGGCTGGCAGAGCCCTGCAGAGAAACACCCAGAGCAGCAGAGAGAGGGCAGCTGGTGGCTCTGGCCATGGCTCTGGGGCTGTGTGAAGGTAGAAGAATAGGCTTAGCAGGGAGAGGAGGAAGATAAATGACTTATTATCCAGGAACTAACTAAACAAGACATAGCCCCAGATATTCCTGGATAATAAGTCATTTGGGCAGGAGTCCTGTCAGGGGAGGGAGCCCTGCAAGGGAGAATAGGGTTAGGAGTAGTATTGTGTTTAAGGATGGAATTTTGGTTCGTGCAGTCATTAGGGTAGATAGTTTTAAGACTTTAATTAATGCTGCTGCTCCCTGCTCCTGGGCCATGCCCTGATCTGCGTGCTCTGGCACCTCGTTCTCAGCTGCTTTCCCTCCTCCTTCCCCCTGTGCCCTCTGTTGTGCCAGCCCCTTTCAGCTGTTCATTACCCAGCAAACAGTGCCAGCCCCTTTCAGCCACGTTCAGCTGGGCTTTGTGTGCAATAATCCCGAGGTATTGATTTAAATTGTTTGCAAACATGTGGGATTAGGGTCTAATTGGGACTAATCGGTGGCACTGCTGGGTTGGGGCTGGGACATTCTCACATCTGCCCTTGATGGAGCTGCCCAGCCTTGGTGCTGCCAGGACCTGCTCCAGCAATGCCAGAGGAATTGTTCTTTTTTGCTTCCTCCTGTAGGAATTTGCTGCTCTCCTGGTTTTGGGACTTTTTTTGGGACAAATTTAGCAGGGACAGGCTGGCATGGGAGCCACCTCAGTGTCCATCACCAGCTCCACTGGCAGCACATCAGGCTCTCCCAAACTTCCATAAAGGGGATTTAACATTTGGCTGGGACAAAAACCCTGCATCAGTGCCAGGTGCTGATCAATACCTCGTGGCCAAGCAGCACCAGGGCTCAGATTTGAAGCTTCTGTGAATTTATGAAGGACAAACATAAGGAATCCTCCTGCTCCATTGGCCTCGGCTGCTGCCTTCAGCTGTGAGCAAAGATGAGCAAAAATAGCTTTTCACATCAGATTTGAATAACCTGGAATCTCAGTGGGAGAAATAGAATGGTTTTTATCATGTCTTAAAGACGCTGGCTGGGATCACGAATGATTTGAAGAAGCTCAATTGGGTAATTGTACATTTTCCTTCCCTCTGCTCACTCCAAGGTTTCTCCCTTCCCACTGGGGGACAGGGATGGGGTCAGGGATGTC